TTTATATGTGAAATGATTAATGATTTGTAAGTATGCAAGGATGAAATTGATACTTTAAATATTTTCTCTGTATGCATGACTTGATTTGGTTTTCAATTCAAATTCCTTAAGGTGTTTGTTGGAGATCAGGGGAAAATATGAAGCATCCATTTGGATAGGAACTGCATCCTTTTTGTGATAAACTGTGAAGTTTCCTTAATGATTTGGTAATTCTAACAAAGAGATGTAAATGCTACAGGTGTGGAAGCATCACGAGACAGGGCAATTGCTGGAATTGGTAGACATATCATTACATGGAGACTTTGTGGCTGAAGAGGCTTGCAGATATTTAAAAGTTGGTCTTCTCTGCACTCAAGATATGCCAACGCTCCGGCCATCTATGTCGACCGTCGTCAAGATGCTAACGGGTGACATTGATATAACTGATCAAACAATATCTAGACCTGGAATGCTTTCAGAGTTCATGCTTCCAAAAGATGTACTAGGCAAGAAAGCCGAGCCCAATTCGAAGCTTACATCGACGACTGAAGACTCGGGAAAGCAAAGTGAATCAACTTCATCGTCAGGGTTCATGGACACCTCGTACGGTACCATAACCTTCAATTCGATATTTGATCGTAGTAACTGAGTTGGAAATTATTTTTTTGGTGGTGAGCCTTCTAACTAAAAGGAGGCACATATATATGTTTGTTCTATCATGAGTATACATCTATTCTGCTTCAACACTTTTTCCACCCTGTTTGTAACTGTGCAGTCCTGTTGTAGGAATTCTTAGTCATGAAATTTCATTGAGAAAATACATTGTTGCTACATTTCTTGTTCAAGAAGATTCGTGTCACACGGCGTGTCGTCGGGTACTCGAGGTGTATATTGACAATTCTTTGAATCTTTGATCCTGTTGGCATGGAAGGAAATTCATACCTTGTTGTGTTTTCATGTTATTATCATGTTGATAGATTTGCATACAATAGATTTGCAAAAACAACTAAAGTTTTACCAAAAAACAGAAACAATATTTATTTTTCAAGTTGTATGGAAAAAATGAGGAATTTGTTATTATTGGGTTAAATTCTATTTTAGTTTTTACCAAAATTATTTAACAAAACATCCAACATTATTTGGAAATTAAACTCACAATTTAGGCGATTTTAAACCAATTCAAATATTATATTTTATTAAATATTTTAGTATTAAAAAGTATTAATATGAAATGCTAAAATAATTTACCAAATTTTGCAAGGCTAATCAATTTTTTCCTTCCAAGGTTTATTTTTTATTTTTTATTTATTTTTAATTATGTTTTTATTTAAGGATTGTTATAAGCTTTCCTTTTAAAAGAGGACTAAGCCCCAGATAAACCCTTGTCTTTGTCTCAAGCCCTCTCCAATGGCGACTCGGCTCTTCTACCGCTCGCTACCTAAAACCCTGATTTCGGCTTCCATATTCTCTCGTTCGTTTCTCACTGCCACTGGAACGGCCTTATCCGCCTCTTCACACTCCTCTGCCTACCTTCTCCGTCGCCTTCGTCCTCTCGCTGCTATAGTTGTCGCTGATTTCCGCGGCCTCTCTCCAGCGGCGAGCGCGAGGGAGTTCGCCACCAGTACCGCTTCATCCTCTCTCAAAGATCCGAATCCGAACTGGTCTAATCGCCCACCCAAGGAGACCATATTACTTGATGGCTGTGATTTTGAGCACTGGCTCATTGTTATGGAGAAGCCAGAGGGCGATCCCACGAGGGATGAAATTATCGATAGCTTTATCAAAACACTTGCCATGGTTGTCGGAAGGTCAAGCTTCGTTTTGATCGATTGTATTGAATCTGTTGGGTTACCCCGATGATTGCATTTAATTTTGTTTCTCTTGGCATTTTAGTGATTAGAATTGTATGTTTAGAACAAAGTGGTGAATTCTTTTGTTTGTCTTCTACGGCAACATTTCAACATCGGACTCATCTGAAAACAGTATTTAACGTTTCGCTGTTTGGTGTTTCTTATTGATACAGTGAGGAAGAAGCTAGGATGAAGATATACTCTGTTTCAACAAGGTGCTACTATGCATTTGGGTGCCTTGTTTCTGAAGAACTTTCTTACAAGATTAAAGGTATTATACCTTTGTTTGTGCCTTGTTTTCTTTTGTTTGTTATTTCTTTCTTTTGTGTTGATTGTACTAAGTTTGTGCCTTTTCCTTCTCAGAGCTGCCTAAGGTTCGTTGGGTCCTTCCTGATTCATACTTGGATGTTAAGAATAAAGATTATGGAGGTAATTCCTTTTCGTATTAAGTTGAGAAGATTAGCATTTGACTTATTTCATTGTCTAATGGTTATTGACTTTTTTGTATACATTTATTTCTCGAGAATTAGTTGTAAAATATGCAATTTGAAAGAGGTGGCGTGAGATCCCACATCGGTTGGGGGGATTATAGAAGTGGTGTGAGATCCCACATCGGTTGGGGGGGGGGGAACGAAGTATTG